TCTTCTCGCTTCTTGCTTCGGTTTCCCTTATCCTGTTATGCATCGTTTATAGAATAGATGAATTCATGATAATCTAGGTATCATCAGAACAATCTGAGTCATGTTGAAGTGTGTCCTCGGCAAGGCGACACCGGGAATAAGCTATTGTTGTTAGTGCTTTGTTCCATATTTTATGCTACTGCCAATCGTCAATAAAACGTCGGAAATAAAATGCGTCGAAGTTAGGTATGGGTTACTTGTCTATGCGTAATAACTGCATGTAATGTAGCGACGGACATAAATACGGTGTGGGGATCGCTAAGAAAGGCATTGTACGATGCAGCATAGTTATGTAGCAGCCGAAAACCCGATCGGCACATAAACGTTCAGCTTTAATTGCGGAACTCCGGTACGGTCTACTGTCTAGTCACTAACATCGTGTCTGTCGAGACGGTCATGGCTGTCGTTTTATGCATTGATAAAGCCTGGTTGGGCCCAAAGCCTGTGGATTTTGAAAAAAAGAATTGGTAAGCTAAAATTAACCCGGCAGTTGCTGGGGTATTTCGCCACCCACCGTATGCTGGGGGGGGGGGGGGGCGGGGCGTTAAACGCCCCCAGCCGATAACTCGAAAACCGATAGGCGCAGCGAAACGCACGAGGCGGCAAACGAAAGAACGCGGCGAGACGCTTCAGATGAGTACTTTAAAGTTGAATTTTGAGGTCACAGGTCGGGTCAAGGTCAGGTCAAACACCTGAAATAGGGCTTTCAGTAGCATGGACTTCAGGACTTCGCAATGGGCGCCTCTCGTCATAAACTCTGTCAAAACGGTGCACAATCCATCATATAAGGCCTACAAGAGTGTCAGCTCCATGTAGGGGTCAGTCAAGCATAGGTCAGGGTCAAGGTCAGGTCAACCGGGTAGGCACATATCCCCGAAAATCAAAACTGATATTCGCAGCCTGTGTCCTGTGACACATGTTTTATGGGTAATTTGGGGCGTAGAACACGATGGTGACATTCATTTTATCATATGTGTACGAGTTTGGCTCAAAAAGTTCAATTTAAGAAATGCATGTATCATGGTCGTGAGGTAGTCACGAGAAATTGCCAAGATTCAGATCAAAATTTTGGAAAATGCGAAACAATAATCAATAATCGAAGATAGGCATTTGATTGTTCATGGTATTGGCAGTCTAATGCCGTTTGCGGCATGTCTTTATGTCTATTCTGTAATTTTATATGATTTTTTAACATATGCCGTTTTTGGTCGAAAACTCAGAAATCATGACGTCACGAAAACCTCGATATCTCAAATTTTTTTCGAACGATTTTTTTTGAAACTTTGTCTCAATAAACTTCAATCAATTCCCTAGAGCAGGGGTCGGCAAATGGTGGGGCATGCCCCCTTTGGGGGTAATGGCGCCCTTCGGCGGGGGGTAATGAGGGCCTCTGAGAAAGCCTCATCTTTTTTAGATTTAATGGCTCCCTTGATGGGACAAACATCGCAACTGTTGTGCCCAGGATTCAAAGATTAGTCGAGGTCAAACGCACAAAGCATGAACTGATGAGCTGGCGCATGTCAATTTTCATGTAGCTGCTCACCATTCCGGCCATTCCGTACAGTCGTTGAAAGTAACTGTCATGTACCAACCGGCGCTCGTCTATTGGCGTTTTCACAGTCACTAACGCAAGGGAGAGGAGTCGTCCATGGCACCCTGACCTGGGCACCTCGGTCTCTGAGCTGGAGCTTTGCAGAAAAATTGAGCGTGTTGCCCGTGAAGATAAGCAGCCGCTGCTACCCAATTTAAAGGTCGTTGGTCATTGGGTGGCCTTCCATAGGTCAATAACAACTGCCGAGTAAATCGGGTCCTGCTGTAACTTTTTGAAGTGAGATTTTGTGGCCTGCCATGATCTCAAGAAAGATCCCACAAATCAACGGTTATTCGGGTTAAGGTCATGCCATTTTCAGGACAGATAAAAATGATCGGCTCGATGGTACAGTTTTTTCGTAATCCGACCCTTTTAACGTGATCTATTCCCGAAAAATACCCGCTACCCCTATACGTATGGGGGTTAACCCGCGCCCCGCTGGGGCTCCTGGATTTCCACGCCCTGCTGGAGGTGGAGGTTGAACACCCCCTACTAACTTGGCTCCTGGGTCACTAGCGAAACGCCGTAGTCGGCGATCGAAAGAGCGTAAGAAATGATGAAGAAAAAAATATGGTCACTTTTTAGGTCAAATCAAAGGTCAGGTCACCAGAGGTCATCGAACGTAAAATTTCGCCAATTTCCAGGTCAACCTTTGACAGTTTTCGACAAACTGGCATATAGCTCAGGAAAGGATAGAGCTACAGCGCTGCGGAAAAACGCGTTCGATAGCTCTCTTTAACGTTTTTTCTGATGCCTGCCCTCAGATTCAACCGAAGATTAACGGTTTAGCCTGCAGGAGACAAAAACTGCCAAAATGTACGTTGCTTGCTGATAGTTTTTCTTAAATAACTTGTCACTCAAAACTTGCAAGAGCTCACTTTTATCAGCATCGTGATCCTCCCGTCGAGAAACATCGAAGGTTTTCTTTTGTTGCACATCAGTCGATCCGTATCGTCGAGCTGAACACATCTAAGGCATTTTCATCGCTCTGGCATGCCTTTATCAAAAGTTATTAGCGAAAAGCTGTTAGATACCATTCATGACCTGAAATGACCTCAGGGACATACAGCGGGGTTACGGGTGCAATTTTCCGGTTCAGCGGTCATGTTTACTTGTAAATAAGAGTTTCACAGTGTTAGGAATGGCACTGGTCCAAAAGAGGCGCCTTTCAATTTTTACCATTTACCTACTTTGCGCCCTCTCCCATTGATAATGGGAGAGGGTGTGAAATTGACCTTAACTTTGGTCACCGACATCAAATCTCCGAGATACAAATTTTGTACATTCTGTCGCCTTTATCAATTCCTGAAAGTTTGAAAGAGACCTGTCACTCAATGCAGCTAAAGCAGGCGTTACAGTCTTTACTGAGGTGAGGTCACTTGACGTGATCTGGTGACCTGACCTTGAGCGACTCTGGTCTGAAATATTCACAACATCTGCAGAAACGATGTATGATCAATTGTTCCAAAATGGTGGCGCTCCGTGCCAACGTCTTTGAGATATTTGCGAGAAACCGCAGGGGAGGGGGCCTGCGGTTTCTCGCAGATATGGTATCCAAAGAGTCACGGAAAAGTATGGAATTTCAGTAACCGTGGTTGTATCAGCAATGGGGTCTGGTAGGTGGGGGTAATGGCCCTGCCTGGCGCCAAAAAAGGGGGCACGACCCCGGAGGACCTGCCGACCACTGCCCTAGAGGTACCCAAAATTTGGCGCGCCTGCGGCGCGCCGTTTTTATGCTATGGCCCGGCGAAAAAAGTGGGGGCGTTTAACGCCCCCCCCCCCCCAGCAACTCGCGGGTTAACAACCAGAGCGCCACCGAATGATGTTCAGAGTCGGATATTCACTACCTCCTACCTATGCGGAAGTAGATAAGCATCTCACGTGAATGTTCTAGTCCCAATGTATTTGAATTCAATAACAGCAACACATTTAAAAGGGTCCATGGAAAAGTTTAACGTCAAGACGTTGCGCCGTTCAGATCGTATGAAATAGGTAAGGGGCACTTTTGTACATAGTTACATACATCAGGGCCAGTCAACGAAAGGGACAATTGTGAAGTCATTTTACAAACTTGGGGCTTGGGTATCGAATAAGTCCATAGCTTTTTCTAGTTGAGACTATCGATGCGTCCGCACCACACCAGACGGTACCTATCCGCCTTGCCGTCACCCAGCAGAGGTCACCGAGCGAGCAGAGGTCACCGAGAGGAGGTCAACGGACTGGTATACATACCTACACCATCGGCACCTGGCGACGGTCACAGTCACCGATTGTCCCGCCAGCTGATACCGGTCACGGGACGGTACCCGACGGCTCGGTTACCTGACGTCGTCGGTCGTACGGCCACGACCCGTCGGCCGCCGGCTGATGGCCGGGTCGCCTGTGCGGCTCACCGCCTCCGGCTGTTTACCGTCGGACGTGTAATGACGGACCGACTCAGTGACACGGCACGCCGACACGCCCACGCCGGTCAGCGCCGCCGACAACAAGAGGTACTCAGCGGCTGCAGAGGTCAGTCAGTAGGTCACCGCTCCCACCCTTGTACCGAGGTCACCCTACCCCTGTGCCGACTGCCGGTGTTCCACTGTGCACTATGTAAGTACCAACTATGTATGTACTAAACTAAGGGCCTAACATAATCCTCGATGTCTCTCGGACGACAAAGATTCTACGTCGTTCGGCCAATGCCAAATTTCATCGAAAAATATTCACCGGTTTTCAAGATATTAGACTTTTACTTTTGTTTACTTTTTGGGATCTCCGCTGTTCCTAGCGACTTTATTTGAAAGTGCGGCATTTGTTGCGCGCAAAGCAGCATATACCACCGCGTGCTACCAAACGTTTTAGTAAAAGATTTAAAATCGTTAGATTTCCGCTGACGTCACAAATTCTAAGGGGGCATACCAATGCATTAGCCCCTTAGAATCCGAAAACTGCAAGTTTGAAATTCGATATCTCCGAATTAAAGCATTTTTCGATGTTGTGAGTGCCCAAACCGGTATTTTCAGGCCATGGCCACCAATTTGGCTATCTCAACTCAAATCTAATGTTAAGGTGGGAGGGTCCCTTTAAGGTCAGCGGGGGCGCCGCTCGGCTGCGGTTATGGAACGTGATAAGTGATTGGCCGGACGGCGTAGAATCTTCGTCGTCCGGAAGACATCGAACGCGGGGTAAAATAAATACAAACGAATTACGATTTGTAAATGCCGAGCATGTGAGGAGTGCCATTTTGCAAAGAAACTTTTATAGCAGTGGGTAAAAGTGGCAGCAATCTTCTGGGTGATATGGTAGTATTTATTGATTCATTCACAGCGCAAATGTTTCAAAATAAGGGAAAAGACAGTATGGCACTAGGCCGACCGAGCAAAAAAAAAAGGAAAAGACGACAAGAAAAACCTGTTCAAATATATCTATGTCAGCAGTAAACTGTTTCAACAACAAATCACAAATCTGAACATCATTTCATTTTTCTGCTGTTGGCTGCTTTGTCTTGCAACGGATGAAACTGAACAGGAGAAGTAGATTTACATTCAGGTGCTCACTTGTGAGTGAGCTTAGCACGAGCCACACGGGATAAGTGACTTGTGGCAGTAAAAATAGACCTAGCTCATATTATGACCGAAAAGAGGGACAAAAAAGTTAATGAAGAATCAAGTTTTGTGGGAAGAGTTTACCAGGTAAACTATCATCTTATCTTGATCTTGTTTTATTATGCGTTGTTGTTGTTTATTTCCCCCTGCCAGACTGCGAAGTATGGCACGCAGGTCGACGAGGCGCACCGGCCCAAGTTCAAAATCCGCACCAACCCCTCAAACTGGGCTGGAAAATCCGCACCAAAGCGAGCCGAGAGCCCAAAATATCCGCTTCGAACCACAGGCAATTATAATGCAAGGGACTTCATTCATCTCACTATTATTATTTCCCCTCCAATTTCAGTTTCACGAGCAACGCTCACCACGGGACCACGCCGCGCACTGGTACCGGAAGTTTGAAATAGAGCAAATAGACGGACGCTGGTGACAAAAGGGCGCCGGAGGGCATATTGGGTCACGTGACATTCAGAACTTCTCCCCTCTCTGTGGGCCTTCTACATGCTAAATGTCACGTGTGAATTTGACGAGCCTTGATAAAATCGCCCCAAAAACTTTCGTATGAGTAAAACTAATGACGTCATTCCAAAGTAGCGTGCTGATTGGCAATTCAAACCAGCTGCTCGCAAATGTGACATACCAGTAACCACCGCAACCAGTCTTCATTCTAATGACGTCGTCATCACGTTAATTTCCGAGGCGAGAATGGATTTGTTCTGCAGCAATTGTTAGTTCGTAGAGTAAATTTAAAACCTTTCTCCGTCACCTTGCGGTCACCGTGGCTGGCACGCATTTGTAGGGCTTTCCAAAGAACAGTCAACAAGGAAACCCGGCCGGGTAAGAAGACCAAGCGAAGTCCGCACCGCCAAGGTCCAAGCCAAATCCGCACCCTACCAGGCAAAATCCGCACCGCACCACTCCAAAATCCGCACCAGCCGAACAAGCCCGCACCGACAAGATCTCGTCAAAATTGCCATACTTTGCAGTCTGGTCCCCCTGTGATTTATCTTGTGCCCTGTCATCTATATCAATGATAAGGTTCTCTAATGAATTATAGGCAAATTGGAATAAAGCCTTTAATAATTGACGTATACATCTGAATAAGCAAGAGGAGGGATTAACTTGCACAAGCTTACAGCAGCATGAACACGAAGGAGCAGCGGTGGATAATTGCACTAAGTTGGGGTTGCATGGGTGCAGAAAATCTGCCGAAGCCCTGGCAGTGACCTTGACTTCTTTTGTCTGTTGCGGGTTCAATGATGTGCACATCCCATTATGGTGCACATCCCAATGATGTGCACCAAGCAATAGTCATGAAAATGTGACTGATTTGCTTCAACTTACATGCTAATGTTTGTGCAATGGATATAATAGCCATTTGCTGGTCATGGATTCAGAGTGTAGGAAGATAGAAGACTTCAAATGCCTGATTTCAGTTTAGATACCTAACTAATACCTACCTATCAAATGATCTCAAAAGCCATTTTTCTAAGCCTTTATCATAGCACCTTTGCATTAGTTACTTTTTTTTACTATTGTGCCTACATTTACAGAATGATGCAGAAACATTGGACAGGGAAGCAGTGGCAGCAATTAAAGAGCAGCTGAATGAAGGAGCCAAGTATTTAATGGTATATTTAAATGTATTGTCTAACTGTTTTCATAATTAGTTCACTTGTGTATCTATTCTTTGCAATCGAGCATCTATTTGATGATCCCAGGCTCAATCAATCAAGAAGAACAATCTGTTTCATTTCTTCTTTGGTAGAACAGACAATCCCACTCATTCCTATCTTTATTGAGCTGTATAGGCTAAACAAATATCTTAAAATCTTTGACACAATTGAGTAATTCACTAACAGTCAACAACTGCTATGATGGCACCAGTTTCATTGCTCTGCTGCAATAAACACCCCTTATTTGTGCTCATTTCAGCCCAATCTGTATCCGAGGGTAGAGCCTGAGGTGCTGGCAACAGTGAAACTCCTGATCTGGAGGGTGAGTTGGTGTGACTGTAGAGTAACTCATACAGCTCAGAGTGGGTGCTTAATTTCACTCAGCTGCAATACTGGGCCACGTCAGCCTGCAATAATGCCTGCTGCACCTCATTTATTGCCATATCAGATGGGTACAGTTTTGGTGAGGTGATTTGGTCTGTCATGAACTGGTACAGTCTGTGGTGGACTGATTTTGTTTGTGCTGGACGGCTGGACTGTTACAGTCTGTGATGGACTGGTAGTCTGTTGTGGACTGGTACAGTCTGTGGTGGACTTGCACAGACTGGTGGACTGGTAGTCTGTGGTGGACTGGTACAGTCTGTGGTAGACTGTTACAGTCTGTGGTGGACTGGTACAATCTGTGGTGGGCTGGTACAGTCTGTGGTGGACTGGTGCAGTCTGTGGTGGACTGGTACAATTTGTGGTGGACTGGTACAGTCTGTGGTGGACTGGTACAGTCTGTGGTAGACTGGTACAGTCTGTGGTGGAATGGTAGTCTGTTGTGGACTGGTACAGTCTGTTGTGGACTGGTACAGTCTGTGGTAGACTGTTACAGTCTGTGGTGGACCGACAGTCTGTTGTGGGCTGGTACAGTCTGTGGTGGACTGGTAGTCTGTGGTAGACTTGTACAGACTGTGGTGGACTGGTGCAGTCTGTGGTGGACTGGCAGTCTGTTGTGGACTGGTACAATCTGTGGTGGACTTGTACAGACTGGTGGACTGGTAGTCTGTGGTGGACTGGTACAGTCTGTGGTAGACTGTTACAGTCTGTGGTGGACTGGTACAATCTGTGGTGGACTGGTACAGTCTGTGGTGGACTGGTACAGTCTGTTGTGGACTGGTACAGTCTGTGATGGACTGGTAGTCTGTTGTGGACTGGTACAGTCTGTGGTAGACTGTTACAGTCTGTGGTGGACCGACAGTCTGTTGTGGACTGGTACAATCTGTGGTGGACTGATAGTCTGTGGTAGACTTGTACAGACTGTGGTGGACTGGTACAGTCTGTGGTGGACTGGTACAGACTGCGGTGGACTGGTACAGTCTGTGGTGGACTGGTGCAGTCTGTGGTGGACTTGTACAATGTACATACTGTGGTGGACTGGTACAGTCTGTTGTGGACTGGTACAGTCTGTGGTGGACTTGTACAGACTGGTGGACTGGTAGTCTGTGGTGGACTGGTACAGTCTGTGGTAGACTGTTACAGTCTGTGGTGGACTGGTACAATCTGTGGTGGACTGGTACAGTCTGTGGTGGACTGGTACAGACTGCGGTGGACTGGTACAGTCTGTGGTGGACTGGTGCAGTCTGTGGTGGACTTGTACAGACTGTGGTGGACTGGTACAGTCTGTGGTGGAATGGTAGTCTGTTGTGGACTGGTACAGTCTGTGGTGGACTGTTACAGACTGCAGTGGACTGGTAGTCTGGTTGACTGGCATAGTCTGTAGACTGGTAGTCTGTAGTGGGCTGGCACACTGGCACTTCCGCCGTCCTTCATGCTCGTTTTTGGTGGCGGTTCTGGCCTCCTGGCTGAACACATGCCTCTATTAGCGGCCCCGACCCGCGCTCCGTCCGCCCTACGGCCGCCGCCGAAACTGAATGGCCGTCTGGGCGGTGTGATCCGTCTTAGTCTGGGTGGAAGGCGGCGGCGGCGACAGTGCCTGACGCCGCGGGTATTCAGCAGGCTATTTGGTGTGAATGTAAGAACTTTGAAAGCACACACAGAAAGGTAATTTACAATCGAAAATCGATCGTTCCTGTTACCCTCCCTTCAGCTGGTTGTATTGGTTCGTTTCGTTGTGTGTCTTATTGTGTCAATGTCCCTTGTTTTCCTTGGCCACACTGTAGTGTCACTATGTCGTGTCGGGTATCATTGTGTGCCGTGTTCGATCCATGTCGCGCGGACTGGGCGGTATAGGGGTGTCGGAACCAGTGTGTGCTCGGTTCATCAATGTTCGTACGCTGTCGGACAGACGGCTACAGTGGACGACAGTATTATCGACAAGAAGCGACATGCCAGTGCCCTTACCGACACCGATAGGCCTTCACCAATATGCGGGGCAACATGTAACTCCTTTCCTCATGCGTATAGTAGGTAAATGGTACACTTTACCACCCCTCCCCCTACGGTACAGTGTTACGACACGCATTACCACCCTCCCCTCCCTCCCCTCTGTACGGTGTATAGTATTAGTAAAGTAATCTTGGTACATACTACCACCCCTCCCCTCTACCGTACTGTCTACATTCAGTGCACATTTTCACCCCTCCCTCCCCTCCGTACAGCACACAGTGGACCGGAACGGCGCGACGTACGGCCAGCGCCTGCTGGGCCTCTCGTACCGGCACCTGTCGCCGGCCCGGTCGGCGCTGTACGTCCTGCTGACCGTGGGTGCCGAGTGGCTCCGTCACAGACTGCCAGAGCTGCTCCGGCTGGCCGCCGCACCACGGCACGTCAGTGAGAAGGTGGGAGTGACTGAGGGGTGGTGGGTGGGCGGTGGGTTTGGTGGGAAGGACGGTGGGTGGTGGGAGCTGATGGGGGGGGGGGGAGGGGGCTGATGGGTCGGACTGTGTCCTGAGATGAAGTAAAGCATTTAATAGCAGTTCATATGTAAAGTGTAGTGAGGGCTGAGTGTTCTTAGTTCAGGGGTAAAGTTGATTAAGCTAAGATATCTTGTTAGATATATAAGTTTATAAATCGTAGCTTGGGTGTGCAAGAGTACTAGTCAGCACCTAAAGCACGTACCTACCAAGCTAAAATGTTCTACCAATGACGGTACTTGGTCCACGGAGGGTGTCATTAACAAACATTAGTGCCAAGTAGCGCCACAGACGCTGGTGTCAGTCCCTCATTTTCAGTATGTATGACCGCATTAAACCACAACGCCCGCTGCATGACAATGTCTCTGAACCTTACACGAAATTCTCGAGTTTCACCCTCCCCTTGGGCCTCGTACATGTTTAACCGGCTGGAGCCGGAAATCGGAATCCCTTCTTGTCATCCAGTGTCCCTGGGGACCGTGGTTCGGTTGGACTGTCCCCCCCCCCCCGCGACACCGCAGCGGTCCGGACGTGTTCTGCGCTGTCGTCAACTGCTGTCAGCCGCTGTTATTAGCTGCCGTTAGCGCCTAATGGGGTGTTCATTACTGGGTCCTTTGTACACGAAACATCCGCAGTTTGTTTGTTGCACGCGGCTCGGGGGTTTTATGCCGCTCATCCAAATGTAGTTATGCGGTGGCCTCTTTGGAAAAGTTGACTCGTTGCCAATGCTAATAACTTATATGTTATGTGTCGCGAGCTAGAGCGCCAGTGCCAGGCTGAGGTTCTCTGAATCCATCCAGGCACAATTTATAGAAAGCGGCACGCGAGCTCCACATGAGTCCGCTCTTTCGAGTGGAATTGCGCTGCGTAATGGATGCTCATATATTTGTGCGATTTTATTTGCGAACCTTTGAAGTCTTTCTTTCGATTCTGTCTATATGAATGAGCATGCCTCATCTACTTACAGTTTCAAAGGAAGTACATTTGAAATATTGCCTCCGTTTCAACCAAATGCATCGTATCTATATTGGTGGAATAGTCATTATGTATAGCGCTATGTGAAATAATGAATACGACTGCAACCGGTAGGCACTGCGGGCATTTCCTTAGCGTCACAACATTTGTGATGGTTGTGCGGTATGATACCGGAGCGTACAACAACTCCCTCGCCCGGAATATTTAACACCAACATGTGTCCTTTTGCCACAGGTCCTGCAGTTTGCTGATCGCGCGGAGCTGCTGCTGCGCGTAACGTCCCTCCTCAACACGCTGCAGTTTCTGCGGCAGGGCGCGTTCCTGACGCTCACCGAGAGGCTGCTGCGCCTGCGGAAGCGCCGCGCGGCGTCTGACGTGGTCTCCGAGACCAACTACACGTATCTGACGCGGGAGCACCTGTGGCGCGGACTCTCGGTGGGTGGGGACGCGGGAGCACCTGTGGCGCGGACTATCGGTGGGTGGGGACGCGGGAGCACCTGTGGCGCGGACTCTCGGTGGGTGGGGACGCGGGAGCACCTGTGGCGCGGACTCTCGGTGGGTGGCAGGAGGCCGCGGGAGCACCTGTGGCGCGGACTCTCGGTGGGTGGCAGGAGGCCGCGGGAGCACCTGTGGCGCGGACTCTCGGTGGGTGGCAGGAGGCCGCGCTGTGGTACCTGACGCGGGAGCACCTGTGGCGCGGACTATCGGTGGGTGGGAGGAGGCAGGGCTGTGGTACCTGACGCGGGAGCACCTGTGGCGCGGACTCTCGGTGGGTGGCAGGAGGCCGCGCCGTGGTCGCCGGGGGACGAGGGGCAGTCTCCGATCCGGGAGCACCTGTGGCGCGGACTATCGGTGGGTGGGAGGAGGCAGGGCTGTGGTACCTGACGCGGGAGCACCTGTGGCGCGGACTCTCGGTGGGTGAGAGGAGGCCGGGCTGTGGTACCTGACGCGGGAGCACCTGTGGCGCGGACTCTCGGTGGGTGGGGACGCGGGAGCACCTGTGGCGCGGACTATCGGTGGGTGGGAGGAGGCCGCGCTGTGGTCGCCCGGAGACGAGGGGCAGTCTCCGATAAGGCTGAGCGGTGATAAGCTTTGACTGAAAGTGGTTTTATAACCTTTTTTCTCTTTAAATTACTTGATTTTGTTTTTGTTTTATATCATCAAATTTCAATATGGCTGCCGTGTTAGTGTTCTGGCCGCTTTCCCAAGTCCCAACCCTCTTTAATTCATTAGTCTTCTTACTGGTTGATGCTAGATTTAATTTTCATCGTTTTTCCTAGTTGACGAGGTTTTGACGAGCAAAGATCTTTGAAGCAACCCATCTTTTTAACCACAAAGCCAACGTTCACATCTTATAAGTAACTGACATTATTTGGGTCAACAGACAGTTTTTCATATTACTGTGAGAACCTTGAATAGAGCAAGTGCTTTGGTCAACATGCAAACACTGGCCGTGTCGATTTCAGTGACCATTTACCACCTAGCCGCTCAGTTCCCTGTTGCCTGTTCACCCACTATCTTTTACCCCAGTCCACCCATGAGCAGTGTGCAGTGTGCGGCGTGCACCCCTCCCATCCCATCCCCTATTTGTGGGCACCCGTCCCTCCATCCCACCCTGTTTGTTTGCGGACTGGTCAGCGTTTCCATACCCCAGCCGTCTACTCTGAATACCGCCTGAATTATACAGCAGTCTTCAGTGGCGGCCGTGCAGCCCACGCCAGGTGCGCCGCTCATTAAGGCGACTATTATGGCGCGCCGCAGACGACTGGCGCGCCGGTGTGGCGCACCGCAGACAATTGGCGGTATTATGGCGCGACAGAGACCCGCCGGCCAGACGGCGACTGTCCGTCCCCGCCTACTCCGGGTCAGCAACTGTCTGCGAGGGAGAGAGTTGTATGCGGGTAGTTATTGCAGCAACTTTCTGCGAGGGATAGGTTATACGCGGGTATAGTTATTGCAGCGACTGTCTGCGAGGGATAGGTTATACGCGGGTATAGTTATTGCAGCGACTGTCTGCGAGGGATAGGTTATACGCGGGTATAGTTATTGCAGCGACTGTGCAAGGGATAGGTTATACGCGGGTATAGTTATTGCAGCAACTGTCTGCGAGGGATAGGTTATACGCGGGTATAGTTATTGCAACAACTGTCTGCGAGGGAGAGTTGTATGCGGGTAGTTATTGCAGCAACTGTGCGAGGGAGAGAGTTATATGCGTGGGAAGTGACGTATGGATAGCTGGGGCACAGCACGGTGGTCGACTCTGAGCAGTCGGAACCGATAAAATTAACAGAACGCTGGTACCGATCGGTTTGATCGAAGCGATGTATTGATGGGCTGCCGAAGAAACGATAGATGTCTATTGTCCGGCGCTCAGGCTGGCGTGCTTCACAGCCACAGAATCAGTGGCTGTGAAGCATAGATTGAGTTTTCTTATTTAGCCACGGCTCGTATTTGTATGTTTTGGATGGGTAGATCGGTGCTGTTTACTAATTAACACCACCGCCTATCCCTTTCAACACGGGCTGGACCTAGCCGCGTGGAAGCTTTAACCAACCCTCCCTTCCCTCGTTTTCCCCTTGGGACGCCGTGTATTCAGGCAATCTACATACACCGTTTCTAACCGGCTCCCTGCCCTGTTCACCCTGTTCTCCCAGCCCTCTCTGTGGCTCGGTTATTTCCTCACCTTTCTGAACCGTGTTCCGTCCCGCCCCGATGCGAGTCTGGCGTGTTGGCTCGTCGTTTGGGTCGGATCGCGCGTCGGAGCGCTGTATCGGTGCTGATTGCTCCGTGTCGGGGTGTGGTGCCGCCGGGTCGGGTCGGTAAACGGTGAGCGGGCGCAGACGGCGGCAGGTCGATACCGCAGCACCGGGGCAGGGGGCTGGTGGGACCGCGGACAGGTCACGATCTCGGGGGCGGTCATTTTGAACTATGTTAGAGGAGGAATCGACCTTCAACACTCCTCGGGGCTCGGAGTGACTCCTCTTCTGGACTAGGGATGGCAAAGGTCAGAGTCAGCGTCAAATATCAATCGTTGAATCCTGAGTGGATTGAAGTCCGATAATGGGAGGGAAAGGGTTGACCTCTGAAGTCAGTGTCACAGTGGCGTCAGTGTCAAAATCAGAGGGTCAGTGACTTCCTAGCGAGCCCGTATCTAGGTCAAAGGATGGATAGAAGTATCCATTAGCTGACCGTCAGTCCGGTATCCGACCGTAAGCTGGGCCTGGCACAGTCGCAGTAGGGTGGCACCCTTTACCTGCAGGCCTCGTGGATTGTGGTGGAAAGGATAGGTCCCGGCTGTCCTGCGGAGAATGCGCTGGTTTATATGTGGCGGTTTTGTGCACTCATGGAACTTGTGGGCCCACGTCTGTATCACGAGTGTGTAAACTGTAGACTGTAGACTGTTACCAGCCAACAGTCCTACCGGGCTTCCGGGTGGGATCGCTGCTTCCCCTCTGGTGGACAAAGCATCAAATACTCATTGAAAATGGCACTATGTACCTATGTCTCTGAGAGACTCAGTCCAGCCAAGCCGAACCGAGCTGTAGTTTACTCAGCCTTACACCCACGTGACGCGCTGTCCGGCTCAGTTGGCTCAGCGGCAATATCACACCGCTGTGCAATCCGGGGAACGTCTGGGCGGATCTGTACATGGCTGGCCCGGTGATGGATAGCGCCGCTCTGCGTCCGGGCAGTTCCGAGTCGGTGTGGTGCCCGAGATATCCGGCCGTATCCGAGCTGCCTTAACGTCCGAGATCGGGCTCCAGCGGCGGGGGTACTTCCTGGTTCAATGTGTGAACTGTGGTAGGAAGTTGTTTAAAATCTCAGACATAGCACGTCTGTCTTGATAGGCTTGTAATTTCAGCTGATCGTGGTCAAGTTAGCTGTGAAATTAATGTGGATTGATTGAAACATATAAACAGCACACCGTTAGAAAGGGAAATCTTGGACAATCCTGTAGTATCTGCTGATGTCTTTGACCGGCGCCTATCGACAGTTGGTTTCGTGGTTAGATCCCCGCGCAGACTCCTGATCTGACATTTCTTCTCTTCAGCAGCTGCTAATTCGCCCTTCACTCTTCACAATCGACCATGTGCGAACACACATGATCAATGTGCTCACAATTATGTCGTATGATCGTCACAATTATTTAATGGCCAACACTACTTTCTCAGTGCATTCTTTCGCTGCCGTTGCATTCATCCTCAAAGTGCTGTTGTTTCATCCCTTCTTTTCTCAGTTGTTGCCTACATCTCCGCTTCCCACAAGAGCCGTTGACACGCCCCTCCCTCCTTCCATTGAGGTCCCTGTCCCTCCTCAGCTGCAGCTTCTGACGTCCCCTCCATCACTCCTCAGGAGCTGCTGATGTGCGTGCTGCCGCTGATCGACTTCCGGCAGCTGCGCGGTCAGCTGCTGCGGCTGCTGCCGGCCAGCTCTGAGTCCTCCGCTGCCCCCCGGCCGCCGCCCTTCACTGCCGAGACGCGCTGTGTGTGGTGCGGCGAGCCGCCCGTGCTACCTCACCTGCTGCAGTGCTGCCACCTGGCCTGCTACTACTGCCACCTGGCGGCCGCCGCCGGAGACTCGGTCCGGTGCGCCGAGTGTGGCCGGGAGTCGGACAGGAGAGAGGTGCGGCCGGCGCCCGTGGTTCGCGCCGTGAACAGCTAGCTGCGAGTCTCTGTGAGGGGTAATATGGCATTTAGTGGGTGATATTTATATTTTTATTGCGATGATTGAGCCAGATAATGCTAGAGTCAGAATAGCACAGTCGCTGTTGTTGCCTTGTTCGAGCTTGATTGAATCAATATCAATGTGCATTCCGTGGTTGGCCGATTATGAATAGTGTCACCTAGTGTTGTTAACCATCTTATATGTAACATAGCTACCATCATAGTCGAATCTGCTACAAAATCTACTGGATCTACTGGAATACTGCTTGAAAATCTACTTGAAAATCTGGAAATCTGCTTGAAAATCTACTGGAATACTGCTTGGAATGGATATGCCGACTGCTGAGCACTGTAGGTCATCGATGATAATGTCGGCTGTTCGGTCGTCTTTTGGAATTATGTTATTGTAGGGGATTAGTTGTTTATTTAATTACGTGATAATGTATGTGTGATCCGTTACACTTGGTGATATGAAGGTGTCTGCAACCCAGTCGGGACAGTGACCCCTGGATGAGCCAAAGTCTCAGGCTGTCCTCCATGTCCTAAGGTGGCGCTGTCCGACTGTTACGGCGGACTGGTCACCGGTCAGCGCAAGGGCGTCAGTGCTCCACAGCACGGGCATGTGTCGCAATATGTCATGCCATGTAATAATTTACACTTCGTTTACCGATTCTTTGAGGCGTGCGTGATTCACTGTTCACTGTTCACTTCAGACGGGACAGTGCCAAAAGATCCCACCTGTCTTCGCTCAGTAATCTCTTAATTTCCTGATACCATGAAAATCAATTCCGCGCTCGAGCCAAACGCACCAAAAGTAAAGACGCTAATTTATTAGTCCAGCAGGAATGATTGGTCATCCTCGGGTGATGTACATTGTGACACCGTTCGCCAGTGTCCGTTCACACCACACGGACCCGGGACACACGCACCGCACGAGCCGCGCGCCGTCCCCTGTGTAAAACCCCACCCTGTGACCTGCCGGGAGCTGCCCGACCCTGCCCTGCAGTCCCTCTGGCTGGACTCGTACGCCGGGCGGCGGGCGGCGGGGAGCTCGACGCGCTGAACAGCACACGCTCGCACGCACGCACGCACGCTCGTCCACATATACGAGTATTCACCAGTTCACACGCAGGTTTCAAGGGCCGCCAAACACGTTAGCGCCTGTCACCCACATTGAACACAATCTCGATACCCTGACAGTCCTAGATGTTCCCTGGAGTGCACACAATCATACCCATGTGCGCACGCACCATCCAGATTCCACATTCGCCACTCCATCGGTGCCGAGCGAGCACGGACCCAGCGGAGAACAGGTGAACACAAGACCATCACGAGCCCGGCGAAATAAATCACTCCCAGGACTCGCAGGACAGATGCAGTCGGAGCTGGATTCTCAGACGATCGGGACCCGCGAGGAATCAACAACCAGACGAGCGCCCGTAGGGGAAGACGCAGCGGGGAAGGGACAGTCTCGGCGACTGGCATCACGACAGCGAGAAACGATGGTGACAACGCGCTCTGAAGCTCGGGGTGGTGGGCCAGGCACCCATTGATATAACATTGAGCACATCCATACAACAGTGGCCCGAATCTCCGCCAGGGTATCTCACAGTGAGGTCCCGCCGCGCGCTGCCCGTGGCCTCAGTTCACAGACACCCTCCCCGCCGCCGCCGCCGCCGCCGGTACGGTCAGCCTGATATGGCAACACGGCCACCGTCTCCGATATGGCACGCAGCGCGATACACACCGACCATCGCCCCCAGACTCAATACCGTGGGTGTCTAACGGTGCCAAAAACGGCACCAAACAAATCAAAATACCATGCGCAGCACAGTGTACCCCTCCCCATCATCAACACAATCAGTAGCCCCATAAAATCAGAACAATATAAGATCCCTCTGCCCGGCGCACAGAGCAGTAAACAGAGTAAAAACACGGCCCGACGAGGGGTGACTCCATTACACCGAACGGCTCCCTAGAGGTGGCGGATTTCGCGCCCGGCGGCGTCTGATAACAGTCCGGCCGGCCGTCACTGACGGGCGCAGCACCGAATAATCTGGCCACTCTGGGATTGGACTGCCAGGAATATCCAAGGCCCTAAAACATAGGAATATCGCACATTTCCGTGTCAAAAGTCACCAGAATTTCCGTACGCTAACCCAAGCTTCAGATAAAAGACGCTACGCGATTCACCGTTTGTAACAAACGCTTCGGGATTTAGGTACCTCAGCTTTGAGCCGAGGGTCAAATCGCAAGCATGGCCAGTGACACCGAAAAATACTACAAATTTCCAGCAATTTCCAAAAACGCGAATTCATGTCACAGGAAATAGATCGGAGCACCGACGCTTTGCATCGGAATCACTCATAAATTTCTCAAAATAAATATGCATCATACTCTGGTTTGCACCACAATCACTCGATGCCTTATGCAGTATACACTCGACCACCTATCATTCATTCCCCCTACTCCCATCTTGAGTGGCATCTGGACCCATCCTTCCCTTCCAGATGCTACCTGAGGTTGGCGACCCGGCCCCAGGCCCAGGTCGCCAGGGGGCCGCCCATTTAGCTCCCGAGTAACAGTAGTGACCTAGCCTCAACCTAGGTGGTGACCGCACGAGTACCGTCCTTCCACAATCACAGTGACCCGCCCTCTACCAGGGCACCGACATAGTCCCATCACGTCAGTGACCTAGCCTCTGCCAGGGCGCTGAGTTACCGACGCCGAGGCCGAGGCCCTTGACGAGTTCTAGTCGACTGTAGCCTATATCAGAGGCCTTTGACCAAGTGTGTAGGCCATAACCTATGCCAGGGCGCAGGTGTAGCCTTTGCCAGGATTGTTGACCCACTCCAGCCGACTGTAGCCTCTGTCAGGGGCTATTGACCAGCTCCAGCCGACTGTAGCCTCAGTCAGGGGCTATTGACCCACTCCAGCCGGCTGTAGCCTCTGTCAGGGGTTGTTGACCAGTTCCAGCCGGCTGTAGCGCTTCCTCCAGACGGCCACCGAGTCTCTGTAGAGGACCGGGTCGAGTCGGGCCGACGATCGCAGCAGCGGCATGTAGCCAAACACGGCGGCGAAGGTGTTGAGACACGAGTGGCGCTGCATAAAGTGCTCCTGGTCACTCCACGGCGGCCTGCAAGGGGAGGGGGAGGGACGGTCAGTCGCGGGGGGCCAGGGATACAGCAGAGTGGGGGGGGGGGGGATGTATGGAATACACAGGGCAGAGTGACGCATACCCGACCGTAAAATATTGCGGCTTTGGGTCCGAGAGCTCAGTTTTGTGGTGGTATACTTGTTCAGGTGTATATTTTGATTCATGTGCTTTTAAACTCGACTACATTTCTATTTTCAAGTCCGATAATTTCATTTTACAGCCCCAGAAACCCTTCGGACATAGTATTTCAACTCTCCTGTGCAAAACATAGGCCCACATCTATTCAAAGAGCTTAAACGATTGCCACAAATCAGCCGTTTTCCGGACAAACACGGCGCTGAGCGTAGGCCCGAGTCTCCCCGGGATTATCAGACCGGTCCCAGTGCCAGGAAACGTCCGAGGTAGATCCCAGGGGACTGGGCAGCGATACAAACCCACCCCGACCCCGCTCGATGACATAGCACCAGCGGAAACTAACAGGATTGAACGGCTCACGGCATACGGCATTTTGGTTTGCATGATGTCGCAGTTTTGAGCGCGAGTTACCTATGGTGACCGATAAGTAGCGTTCCGCAAATGACGTCACGGTACTCGTACTACAGCACCGACGTCCCCACTACCGCAGACCCGGTCACTATGGCGATTGAAACCATTAATCGGCCGGCTAGTATCCGTTAGCATTGTTGCGGTACAAGACACCTGACAACTAACGGTATCAGTATGGGCCGCTGCGAAACACTCGGGGTGACGAGGCGCGGACCGACTGAGATAGTGACGTCATAGTGACGTCACTGGCTCACCTCATCAGGCCGCCGGCCGTCTCCTTATAGGTCTTCCTCTGCGTCACCTTGATCGGCGGCCGTCGGGTGGCGTGGCTCACGATAAAGTTCATCAGAATGTCCTGCGAAACGGATAGACACGTGCGAGTCAATGCCTGGTTATGCTCGCCTTCGGGAGGGACATGATGGCATGACGCGAGTTGGCACTTTGACTCTGTGAGAAGTACTAAAGTGAAGTCGCTCTCCCACATGATCTTGGTAGTAGCCACGCTTATTCAGGTCGAATGGAGAGGAACGTATGCACTGACATGGGAAGCAATGGCTCGAGACGTTCCAGGGGTGGGCCAATTTCAATATCCGTTGAACGAAATACCCACCGAAAGGTCCCAGTTACTACTTTGCTCTGGAAGCCTTAGCCGACACTCACTCTTGTTTTTATTTTACCGTCGCCTGTGGGCGCCTTTTACCACAGCATTAGCGCGGTTCCGGTAATAATATCCGTTGCCCTCTTATAATAACTCCCTGAGCAGCCGATAGTAAAGCCGATCGTCACACCGAGTCGGAACGCCGAAAAGGCGCCGTATCCTGAGAGCGCAGACGGCCCACGCACTCTCTCCTACTACGACTGACTCCTCCGCTGCCCACCGGACAAAGAGATTGTTCTGTACACCTGACTCAGCCGGGCAGTCGCCAGCGACTAGTAATTACAGATCTCGTGACGAGTGCATCCCTGTCTGATTATCCAACGTGCGTGGATTCCACACCCGCGCTATTACCAGACGCGCGCGGATCCCGCACGGTGTGGTTACTCAGATAACAACCATCCTTAATGCGCCGGGTAAATGTTTTCACAGTGCGAAAACTAGGAGCGGAACAAGGTGCACCGGCCGAGACGGTGCCAAAACACTCAGCCGGCACCAAATCATCGGGCCGACCGGCGAACAACACAGCTGGCATAAACTGACATCATTCGGCAGATGATTAGTGCCGAAAACGTCATAGCAGAGCAGCAAACGCGGCGGAACCAAAACAACCCACCGACGTAAGACAGGGCTATTCCGGTCCAACGCAAACATACCATTCACATCTCGGCAGTCACCTCTCAACTATAATCAGCCTATATTCACTCATCGTCTAAATACCTCGAGATGGCTGCCAAAAAACACATCTGTGCGTGACTAAGCACCCGAACATCACAAACCTTTTACACCCGACACGGAAATCCTCTAACCAAACGACCCACCAAGCGTCCACAGCTCCCCCCCCCCCCCCCCCCGACGTGCCCGTGTCTGTCTGTGCGTACCTCGCAGTTCTGCGCCTGGTCGACGGTCTTGTGCAGCACATCCGAGGCCCACTCCCTGTACAGCCGGTGGTAGTAGCGGTGGTACATGGCCGCCGACGTCAGCACTATCGAGTAGTCATTCAGCCACTTGGACGTGTAGCCCCAGGTGCCCTGCCGGGTGGCGAACGGGGTGGGGGTCTCAGCTTTTAGGCATTACGAGTGAGGTTGGAAAGGTGTCGGCGAAAGACGAACTGCTCATGTAGGCATACATGTCAAACACTCACATTCATTTATCTCCTTCCTGAATTTTCTCTTTCACTATTTTACGCTTTATATGGGCAGAAGCTATTTTCTTCCTATACCTACTTCTGTGCGCCACTCGCCACTGGTTGCTAAGACGATCAGGTGAAGTATAAAGCCGGGTCGCTACGCAGTGAGGGATGGCTGCCCTCGATACTGTCCTCGGGACTGACCACAGAGCCCAAATAATCCGCTAAGATTGAAAGTCAGATCAGCGACTGAGTCCCTAACGGTTATCACACAATGCTGATGGAGATATACCTACAGATTTTGTCCAAGGTTCGAAATGGGCGACCACACTTCACCGGTAGGCGCGGTCGAGCGGCGTCTCCGCCAAAGGTGTGACAAAATCAATGCCAAATATATGACGTGAGCTCGACACTCTTTTAGTAGGCACCACGATACCAGCAATTTGAAAAGGTCAACGCGACGCTTAGCGAAATAGAAACGCCATGAAGATGACAGGATTTCAGCCCAGTCGAGAATTTAGCAGTTCATGAATATGAAGCACGATCGCACTGCAACGCTCTTACGGTGATGACTCGTACTCACGAGCGACTCTTATGCTTCTAGACGACTGCAACGCTGCTTCACGACCGCTGAGCCGAATGTACGCTAAAACGCTCCCGTGGGGCTTATAGCGACATTTTAGATAGAATCTGAATGACGCAACCATGACAAGTGTTTCAAGTTTATAGCTTTACAATGTTTAATGCTACAATTCCACAATTCAGCTCACTTCAAAAGCAAAAATAGAACCCAGTACAAAGGCGTTGCATCATGCGGTTGCGTTCAGACAAACGGCAGGCGGCGATACCAAATACCGGCCGGGGTTCTGGGAGTGGTGCTGTGCGGTACAGCATAACTTCAGGCGCCCATCACTGCTGCCATCTAGGGGCAGAAGTATAAGTATACGGCGCTGGCCCTTGCGCGTCCGTGTACTGCTATCTTCCTCTTTTAAATTGCGTCCATGTTGTAACGTTTAACAGATTTAAGCTATTCCTTTGCTTAAATGTTTGTATAAATTGCCAAACAAAGTGCTTACATTGACGGTTAACGAACATTGGCACAAGGTTTTCGCGCACGGTCTCATCAATGCTGCGCTTTCACTGCTGCCAGTATATCACCTCACCAGCCCCCCCCCCCCACACTCCTTCCGTCCGGCCCGGCCCGTACTCCGTACCTTGGCGTCGTCCTCCCGTCCCACCCGGTCCGTACTCCGTACATTGGCGTCGTCCTCCCGTCCCACCCGGCCCGGCCCGTACTCCGTACCTTGGCGTCGTCCTCCCGTCCCACCCGGTCCGTACTCCGTACCTTGGCGTCGTCCTCCTGTCCCACCCGGTCCGCCCGTACTCCGTACCTTGGCGTCGTCCTCCCGTCCCACCCGGTCCGTACTCCGTACTCCGTACCTTGGCGTCGTCCTCCCGTCCCACCCGGTCCGTACTCCGTACTCCGTACCTTGGCGTCGTCCTCCCGTCCCCCCCGGTCCGCCCGTACTCCGTACCTTGGCGTCGTCCTCCCGTCCCACCCGGTCCGCCCGTACTCCGTACCTTGGCGTCGTCCTCCCGTCCCACCCGGTCCGCCCGTACTCCGTACCTTGGCGTCGTCCTCCCGTCCCACCCGGTCCGGTCCGTACTCCGTACCTTGGCGTCGTCCCAGTAGTGTGACCGGGCTGGAAATCCCACGATCCTCTCCGGAAACGAGCGCCACACCTGGAACAAGAGACAGGGGACGGTCAGGTCCCCAAGCTGACTTCGAGCTACCGACCGATCGCGCTAACGTCTCACCTGGCGAAGCTGGCCGAGAGGATGGTAGCCGCTCGCCTGACTCACCTGGCAGAGAGAGACGATATGGTCCCTGCGGAACAGGTCGGCTTCAGGAGGGGTCGCTCCGCAGAAGAGAATTTGGGAAGGCTGATACAGACAGTGCAGGATGGCTGGAATAAGGCCAAGCCGCGTGGAAGGCCGATCGATGGCGTCACGGCCGAGAAATTCGTCCTCATGGCCTACGATTTCAGCCGCGCCTATGACGTCATCGACCATCGTATGCTCAAGCTGAAGCTCCTGCGGCTGGGCCTACCTGCCTGTCTGGTTCGCTGGATCTGGGCATTCCTGCGCGACCGCCGGGCGTCTGTGGAGGTGAACGGCGCCCGGAGTGCTGAACGAGTCTTCAGGGCCGGTCTCCCGCAGGGCAGCGTCCTGGCCCCGACGCTGTACACCCTGTGGGCTGCCGACCTCATCTTGGAGCTGCGACGAGTGCCACACACCACGACGTACATGTACACAGACGACACCGCAACCCTCAGCGGTGGGAGCTCTATTGCCCTGGCAAAGGAAATGGCACAGAAGTCGGCGGACATTATCGCCGCCTGGGCGGACCGCTGGAAGATGAGGGTGGCGGGTGAAAAGACCCAGGCCATTGTTCTCTCACAATGGGCCAGGGACGCCGGTGAGCTGACCGTGAAGGTCGCTGGAGTGTCAGTGAAGGCGGGCTCCCAGCTCCGCCTCCTCGGCGTGACCTTCGACCGTCTCCTCCATTTTGGACCACACTGCACCGACCTCCGCCGCAGGGTCAGACCAAGGACCGCCCAGCTGAAGAAGCTGACCGGCCGATCGTGGGGCCTCGGCGAACAACAACTACGAACCGTCGCCAACGGCTACGTCCGCGGTGCGCTGGAGTACGCCGCGGCTGCGTGGCTGCCGGCGGCATCGCCCTCGCACGTCGAGCTGATCGATCGGGAGCTGCGCGCGGCCGCGCGGGCAGTGACCGGATGCACGGCATCTACTCCGGTGCACGCCCTGATGTCCGAGGCCGACATGACAGATGCCTGGTCCAGGAGACAGGCACTGGCAGCGAGAATGGTGGGACTCGCGGCGTCCCTCCCCGAGGGAGACCCGCTGAGGTCGGTCGGGGAGGCGGTCGTCCCTCGACGACTCAAGACCACAGGATGGCGCGAGGTGGGCGCCGCCGCGCTCGCGGCGGCCGACGCGCAAGACATACCCGTCGAGGCCCGCCTCCACCACACCCTGCCGCCGTGGGCCGACAACTCTACCGTCCACTTCCATCTGGACCTCGGCCCGCGGGCCAGACGTGCGGCCCCGGAAGACGTTCGGCGTGCCGCAGCTGAAGAGCGTATCCGGGAGCTACCTGAGGAAGCCGTCTGGATATGGTCGGACGGATCGGCGGAGGACGGCGTCGCCAATGGCGGGGGCGGCGCCCTGATCCGCACCCCAACCGAAGATGACTGGGAGCTGAGGGTCCCTGCTGGCCGCCTGTGCTCCAGCACGCGCGCGGAGCTCGCCGCGCTGCTGGCAGCGCTGGAGGCAGTCGCTGAACTGCCGAGAAGCGCGGGCCTGCCGGTGGTCGCCTGCCTGGACTCCAGGGCGGCCCTGCTAACGCTGGCTGCAGGCGCCTCGGCCCAGACCACAACACTGGGTGCCAGTGTGTGGACCCAACTGCTGCGCCTACAAGCAAGCAACAGCTCAATTCACCTCCAATGGGTACCGGCTCACTGCGGGCTCCCGGGTAATGAGAGGGCGGACGCATTAGCGAAGGAGGCGGCCGGGATGTCCCAGCGGACGACGCCGGTCGACGCCCGCACCCTCACGCGGGCTGCTGCGCGGGTCGCCGGCAGGGAGTGGCGAGCGAGCCGGCCTGCGGGCTGGTACCGAGACGTCATGGCGGACCGCGCCCCCGACCCGGTCCGAGCCGCTACCAGGGAGGAGGCCATCGACATACATCAACTTCGATCGGAACACTGGGGACGGTCGGAACAATATCTCCACCGCATTGGGCGCAGACCGACACCCGAGTGCGCTCAGTGCAACGACATCACATGCCCGGCGGGCCGTTGTCTCGTCTGTGGCGAGGCCGCGGACACCCCGGCGCACGTACTACTGGAGTGCCCGTGCCTGTTCGGCCCCCGCCTCCAAGCGCTGGGTAACATCACAGGCACGGCCCGAGACGTACAGCGCGACGACGTGGTGGCGGCCTTGGCCGCCGGCTACGCGGCCCACAAGAGCCGCGTGGCTCCGTCACCGCCTCGGCGGTGACCGGGAGGAACAACAACAACAACAACAACAGCGGGGGCCGTCCACTGTCGGACACAACTGCCTGATTATCGGTCACTCAGCGAGTCTCAGCGCGGTCCATCAGTGAACATACTGATACAGTCCCATATGGAGGCGGGGGTGGGGAAGGAGCGGACCGGAGAGAGGGTCATTGTCCTCAATTCTAGAATCCTCGCGTATATGGAGCTGATGGTCATTGCCTTCCGGATCTCCGATAAAAGTAATCCGCGGACGCACGGGACTATTTCGGGAGATATCGCGTGACGGGCGGCCATACTGCAGCTGAACGCTGCAGAATTCAGTTTCACTGTTCGTTGTTCAGCTGCCAGCTCACGGGGAAAATAAAAATAGCTCATCACCGGCATATGATCACGTAAAACTAAGAGCACCAGCTGGACCAAGCTATGAAACACTCAGCTCAACACACATACATATGAAATGATGATTCAACAATGCCAAGGCATTACATAAGCATGCATTGTTGGATAAATTGCTCAGATATAAAATTCATGACCGATCATCTGGAATATAAAACAAGAAGCATCAGTTAAATAACCAAATAGAAAACAGCTAGTGTAAAATAAGAAGACATGTCTATTGTCTATTTTTCCGACCAACTTCCTACGGCGGTCATATCCCCAGTACCCGCCGCATATCACGCAATATCGGAAGTCCACCATCCCCTTCAATAGCGTCGGGCGCCTCCGGGCGATACATGATGTCCATCATCAATAGGGGCCGTATAAAGGCGGCCTGCCCGCGGACCGGGCGCCGGACAGCTCTCTCCGATACTTACGGCCGGTCGGCGGCACCAATATTGACTTACGGGAGCCGCGCTGATCCCTGCCGCGGTATCGTGGCGCATCTGACGGCGCTACGCGGCCGTCCCGGCGCGGCAGCGACACCCGTGACGCTGGGATCAGCCGAGTGATAATGCCGCCCATTATAGACACAGAAGATGGGCTCGCAGAGTATCAAAGGCGGCCAGGTGAAACGTAATCAAAGCAGCTCCCGAAATCGATGGGAAAGTTGGGCATTGCGTTAGTTTTTTTCTGAAGGCATGCGAGCTAGCAGGAAGACGAGGAGCACGCCCGTCCGGGAACGAGCAATGACTTCAACGATTCTATCGTTACAGAAGCGCAACTCTCTCAATCAGCTCATCAGCCACCGCGGAGGATGACAAACTTCTGAAAACTGGCTGCTATGCGGCGGCTGCAGTCGGGAAACTGCCACTCTGTTGCCAATGCATGCCAATGAGGCGCGCCCAGTTCGGTAGCGGCGGGGTGTCCGCGCGGCCCGCGCGACACGCCGCGCCTGACAAACGGCCTCGTCCCGTCGGCCGGACTCCGACGAATCGCCACCGGCCCGGCACTTCATTAGCCGCCAAATTTAATGGCCGCCGCCGGCGCCGGCTCATTAGAGCCGGGCCGAATTATTGGTCGCCGGCTGCGCGGGTATTCTCGGGGCGGCAGTCGGCGCCCGTCACCCGGCCGCTGATGAATATCACCCCGGGCAGCCAGCGACTGAACGGCTGCTGGCCCACTGACGAGAAATTAAAGACAAAATGACTCGGAAACCCCCATCCAGGCAAATTCGTGAGTTAGAACCCGATCCGGCCGCCTTTCCGTGAACAAACTGATCGCCAATCGCACCACCTCCTAAGCCGTTGATCCCCGGTCCACTGTGTGAAATTCTGCGAAACCCGATCAAAGCGTCCAATCGTGGGGCCGAGGACCGGACTCCGGATGGGCCCCGGGCCCCGCTGGGTCGGAGACGGACCGCGGCCGTCTACGACGGACGTCCCGAGACCGACGACAGAAGCCGGCGACATACAGCACCAATTTCGAGCCCCGTCAGTCATGCGGCCGGCCAAATTGAAATGCCACCGGCGCCGGGACGGTCGAACAAGTGGCGGCGGGCCGGCGGCCGGCAACTGGAAACAGTTCGCTGAGACGTCAGTCAGAGACGGGACCATAGGAGGGGAGTTTGACACAGTCAGACGAAAACCGTGGAGCTGGGCCATGCGGCATGGATTCGAGCGTGCTTTATGCAGGCGGCGTGGCGGCTTGGAGTGCTGCATACCAATCCGTCAGCTCAGTAGTGCGCGAGCTAAGCAGCTCAGCGGCGCCCTCAGCTCAGCAGCGCCCTCCGCTCGGCGACTGAGCGGCCGCCCACTCAGCAGGCGGGCTCGGCGGCCCAGAAACCGGGCAGTCAGCAGCTTCACGCGGGACCAGCGCCGCAGTAAAGTATCCCGTCTGCCGGAGTTTCAGAGCCAAAAGTTTAGCGTCTCGCACTATTCCGCAGCAGCGTTTCCAGTCTCCGGCGCTATTCCTTCTCGATATCGTCACCACCGCTTCAGACACTCATATGTAGTAGATCAAACACTCGCCGTATCCGGGAGACCGTCCGTATCGACTCGGAGGCTGCATCGCCCCGGCAGAGCGGAAATGGAGTCTGCCCGAGCACCCGCCGAGCCGACTACCAAAACAGGGAGATGATATATCGGTAAATAATGGAGCCGCCGCCGTAGATACGCCGCTGAGCAGAGGTTTGTTGTCTGAGGCGGCGGCGGAACTCGCCCTGCGGCGGATTTCAATGGCCGTGAGACCGGGTGGTTTCCCAGACAGCGACTGGGTCCCGGATTCCCGACATGTTGTTCCCAAGCCTGGATGCATCGCTAATGGGGCTTCTCTGTTGAATAACACAACCGTAACGACGGCGTTGTTGACGATCTCCATTTCTATACATTAGTTAGCATTGGCACTGCAATAGCAGGTAACTGTGCACACAGTCATAGCATCTAATTTGTGATTTAAAAAATCGCCAACACTGGTTACTTCATCGAACAGAAACTGGACATTGGGCAAGGAAGAATGTACCACATTTCCTATGCACATGAAAAAACTTGCACGGTGATGCTCCTCTAAAAGTATCGTACACAATGCGAAGGAATCAAAACCCACCATGACACACTTCTCATCCACTCTAACAGGACACTATGGTCTCAATGCCATGTCAATATACCACCAGTGACAAACGTGTACGAATAGACGATAACAGAAAACGACACACAGTTAACTAAAACATGAGAGCCTTCTGCATAGCGCATGCATTATACAACTGCTCAATGCCTCAATGTCATCTCTGAACAAGATTCTCTTCATTGCACACAAGGGCGCTGGAGGATGCAATCCATAACCCCACCATTGCTGACCTCCAAAAACAGCTACTACAGACATCACTAACCAGAGAACCAGCCCACCACTAGGCACTAACCATCCATATAGCTATAGCTATATATATGCTATACTATATCCACATATAATGTAGCTACAACTGGCCCACCACTAACCACTGACCTGGTACACAAAGTCGAGCTCATCTGCGATCAGGGTGACGTCCTCATCCAGAGACAGCACGGCGTCTGTGTGCACCAGCTCCTCGGCTACGAACCGTTCCGAGATGGCGCGCCGGGCCGGGGCGGTGACCCGCACCCGGACCGGGAGGCGCGGCAGCCGCGAGACGGACGGCGGCTCACTGTCGGCGATCCACACCAGCACCACGGCCGAGACGAACGAGCTGCCGCCCACCTGGGGAGACGGGGAAGAAGAGTTAGATGGCTGGTTAGATGCGCGCTACATGGTCACTGCCACTGGTCAGATGGTGGTTTGATGGTAAGATGAAGCAGTGTGTGGATTGATGGTAAGATAAAGCAGTGTGTGGATTGATGGTAAGATGAAGCAGTGGGTGGTTTGATGGTAAGATGAAGCAGTGGGTGGATTGATGGTAAGATGAAGCAGTGGGTGATTTGATGGTAAGATGAAGCAGTGGGTGGATTGATGGTAAGATGAAGCAGTGGGTGGATTGATGGTAAGATGAAGCAGTGGGTGATTTGATGGTAAGATGAAGCAGTGGGTGGATTGATGGTAAGATGAAGCAGTGGGTGGTTCGATGGTAAGATGAAGCAGTGGGTGGTACGATAGCAGGAGCTCAGTCCCGCCCGGATTTTCTGAAGAAGGAGGTGGGCGTTTGAGCGGAAATACTGAAAGCTGGTTTTCTCAGACATTGAGAATTGTAACACACTACGAGCATTCGTACTTATTGGCAGGTGAAGCTCCCATGAAAATAAGACAAGCTGAACATGACAGAACACGACACGCATACACCAACATACGGCTGGCATCCAAATCGTAAAAACCGTCAGCCCATTTCAAAACACACCTCGCTACCAGGGACAAAAGGGCAGCGCCAGTGTGGTCTTCAGTAGCGACAGGAACACCTGTATCAATAACGGCATTCTAAAGCTCATTACCCCGTCAGTACCGACTGCTGGCGCCTCTGCAGTTGGGTATAATACAGCCGCCAGCACGAGTCGCTCAGCAGTACTGCCGGGATAGCCGCCGCTCAACTGTCGGAATCAACACGTGTTGCCTGACAGCCAGTACACAATCAGAGTCCGACGGCCGGGCCCGTCCGGATACCGACTCGAGGGTCAGACCAGACCAAGACGAGCAGGGCGGGGCCGGGCCGGGCAGGCAGACAGGCGGGCGGCAGTGAATAGCGCCGGGGTGACAAGCAGGCTGGCCCGCCTCCAACATACACGGGTCGAGTCAGTCCGGAACGCCCGCGTCTGACATTATTGGTCAGGAGGTGGACACTTTGCGGAGCGTATCCAATAGAGGAGATTCGCTGTGGCGGAGCTGTGGACAGCACACCAGTCACGATACGGCCCGTTCGTAGCTTCGTCCGTCCGTCCACCCGTCCACACAGCAGCCAATCCCCGAGGCGTCCCGGCAGCTCAGCCACGGCGGAGACAGCCCGTCCGGCCTGTCAGAACCCAGCGGCGGCCGAACCCGGCGCCCCGACAGCACAGGAAATGGAACACTCCAGCCGCGACACTCGCTGAAAGCAAGCCAGAAATTGGCAGAAAACCCTCCATGGACCGGCGATATGGCGCCGCTGGGATTCGCCGTGCCGCCGCCGCGCTCGGCTTCTTTCGCCGGGCTGATGAGCTTTCGGCGAGGCCCCTGCAGCGTGGCGGATTACTGAGGCCCAGCTGGTGAAGTGGATGGCCCTCCATGTGGGGCGTGTGCCTCTGCGAAACATGCTGATAGAGCATAGTGTCCAAACAATAGAGATTTCCCGTTGAAGTACCAGACACTCTTGACTTCGAAAGAAATCATCTTATCTTGAACATTCATAATATCAGCAGGAAAGTGGAGCAGGCTATACATAAGTATGTGTACAAAGCTTAGCTGCTCCTCGTAATTTCTGCATCTGTTTGACGAGCCACTATTGATCTGATATTTGATATCAATTTACAAAGAAACAAGCATGTACTTGTGAATATCAGATGGGTTTCAGTTGTCAAAGTTTCTGGATAAAGCTGAACATGACGCTACCTGTTTGAGGCTTAGCAGCCGGTAGCGCGTGACCTCACCCCACATCTACCTGTTTGAGTAGCCGGTAGAGGGGCGGCAACGCCGGTATCTACCTGTTTCAATAGCCGGTAGGTAGAGGGGCGGCAGCACTCGGCACCTACTTGTTTAAGGTCTAAGGAGACGGTATAGGGGCGGCAGCACTCGGTACCTACCTGTTTGAGTAGCCGGTAGAGGGGCGGCAGCACTCGGTACCTACCTGTTTGAGCAGCCGGTAGAGGGGCGGCAGCACGCCCTGCTGGCAGAGTATGACGGCGGTGAAGTTGTCGCGGGGCGCCACGTCCACCGTCGGCCGGTAGAGCGGCGTCTCGCTGAGGGAGCCGGCCGGCCGCGGCAGGTGCAGCAGCGCGCCCGGCGAGGTCATCCACACCGTGCCCGGCGAGGACAGGTGCGTGTGAACACGAGACTCGATTATCTGCAGAGACAGGAGAGAGGTCGGTCAGAGCTACTATATAGCTACAACGATGGTCAGTTCATCGAAAACAGTGGCCCGTGACTCATAACAAGCACGGCAACGGCATGAACTCGATGCTTAGAAGCCATGGCACTAGCAATGCAATGGCCTAATCAGCGGGTGTAAACGCAGTCAGCTCACACACTGGAACAAAGAGTAGGATTTGTTCATTTGAGCACGCACTAAAAGCAATGAAACTTTCAGAAAAGGCGCACTTGGCAACCGATTCAGATTCAGCCGCCGGCGGCGGCATAGGACGAGCCTTTGCCAATTTGTATGCTAATGCATCGCTCCCAGACTTTGGCGTTCTCAATGGAGAACGATTCTCAGCCTTTGTTATTTGCATCAGCAGCTCTTCAGCGGGCCATCGCAGTGTTTTCGAACGCAACCCGCAATCCGCATCATCTCCACCCCTTTCCAATCGGGAGCCAGATCTAGACCCCGAGCGAGCGACGGATGCAGATACACAGCGTCGGATACTCAGAGTCACAATAAGGGAGACGTGGAGACTCAGTGATGGAGACAGGAGGAGCAACGGCGGAGACAAATAGACGCAGCGGAGGAGACACCGAAACAGCAACGGAGACAGAGAGACACGGCGACGGAGACGGATTCCGGCAGTTCCCCGGACCGACCCAGCCACAGGGGTATCGTTGACACGGACAGAACGTACTGCGGAACTGGGAACTGGACGTGTCATCTCGAGGCGTCCGTCTCCGGAGACCGCCCACACCGCCTCTGGTTTTGTCTATTTACGTCAGCGTGACAATGGGGCGGCCAACGCCACGGGCCACCCCGCAGAATGACAATTTCAGAGCAGAACAGCGTTTCACCGAAAAGACGTGGCCAGAAATTGTGGCGACTCTGTTCAAAGGAATGAAAGGCAGACGACGGAACAAAAGGAGGATAATTAACCCAATCATTTCGGCACACGCCCGGATGACGCATTTTTAACCTACAAAAACTATCCTCAATTATACTCACCAAAGATGAGACGTTCTGTGCGACAAAAAATCACGCCCAACGTGGAAGTCACCCTCACTGCAAGTCAACCCAAGTGGGCCTGTGCCGCCTACGCGCCCCTTCGGCCTTGTTAGACCTCCACCCACCCTGAGCGTTGTGAGCACGATGTAAGCCAGCGCCACCAGGAGAGCGCCATCCGCCCCGAGCGTTGTGAGCACGCTGTGAGGCGCCACCCTGAGCGATGTGAGAGAGCGCCACCCACCCTGAGCGTTGTGAGCACGATGCGCTCGATGGAGCTGAAGTAGGAGTTCCAGAGGTGCTGCGTGTTCTGTCGCATCTGCAGCAGCTGCGCAGAGTCCAGCGATCGCACCGTCTCGGTCACCTGCAGCAGAAGCCGCTCGTCGGCCCACACCGCCGCCCGCCGCCAGTCGATCACGTCGTCAAACGGCAGCCTGTCGGCACGGGGCGGTGACGTCACCGGTGGAACGACAGGGCAGAGACGTCACCGGTGGAACGACTGAGAGTCAGTGAGAGGGCGTCACACGGAAGGGGAGGGGAACAGAGTGGCTGCAGGGATACACCGGGATAAGTAACGGGATACACTCACAGCTCAGGTCGCCTGGGAGTGGATAGAAGAAAGCAATCTTGGGTAGAAGGCTCCGAGTGCTGTGGAAACGTTGTGAAACTATGGGCCGCAGTAAGACGTGATTCAATTAAGACAGGAAAGGTCAACGAGTCGGGAACAGCGGAGTGACAGGGTACACCAATAACCTGGCATGGACACACTGGGAACTCCACAGACCAGTGCACACGAACAATCACACGGCATAGCTAGAATCATCACTCATACAGCGAACACAATGGAACATGGACATTTTGACAGTGTCAAACGTTTCTCGCTGAACATAAATCTTGCTTGCAGGCAGCTTTCTGCCGCCTACACATCCCTTTAAAATGAGAATCGTAAGTCGACAAACAGCACCAAACAAACAACATAAAACGGACAAAATTGGTCACAACAGACACTCAGCCTCTTATAAACCCGCCAGATTCCAGTAAACTCGGCGATAGTACGCTCCCTGATTCGCTGTGATGATCTGGTGCTTCAATCTGACGCCGCCCCCGACCTCCCAGGATGCGGAAACTAACGCCCGGCGGCCCGGAGGCGGAGGAAAAACATGCGGACAAACAAACAGGCCGGTAACGGGAGCTGGCCGGGCGCCGTGTGTGTAGCCGGCAGCGACAGCCGGCGCCGATCGCCTGATCTCACTGGGGTGGTGACATGGCCCCGCAGCTGCCCGGGTCCGGTCACCGATCGACCCGGCAGGGTGCGTGTGGTCCCCAGATCATACTCAGCCCCGGCTCCAAACGAATCATTGAGGTTATGAGCCTAAAATTTATGAAAAAATACATGGTGGGCGGCGGCAGAGGCGGTAGGATGGAGTGCACAATCTTTCTTCTCTTCACTCCGTGCATGCATAATACCCAGTTCCAGGCAGCCGAAAGACCAGGAAAGACAACCTTTTCAAAGTAATAAGAGTGGCTGACCTTTAAACTTTCATGTTCGCGCAACACATTTACTTCCCCGATTCCCCGATTACCCCTATCTCAACCACCGACGAAGCAGGGGGAGGGAAGGGGGACGGGGATAGGGGGCGTGGGCCGGCTCCACGTCACTGCGAGTGTGATACTCAGACGGCATCGTTCACACTCGGTCATCCGCTGGCGTCATCCGCGCGGTGCTGCAGCCGACGGCGGCAAGGGGGAGGGGTGTGACTCGCCGGCCGACATCTGGCTACCGATGACGTCATCATCCGGCATCTGGCAGCTCTGTGACGTCATCGACTGGGAGACCGCCGCCAGCTCCAAGCCGTGCGCTGTCGGCGGCCACAGCACGAAGCAGCCATACAAACAAAAGTTCAACGCCTCGTCTCTCAGCGTCGTAAAACTAAAGCCATCGACAAACTTCAGAGTGGTAGCAGCGCCATATGAGCCTTTTTCGTCAGAACTATCACTTGGGTCGTTGACGGTTGAACACCGGCCCAGCCCACGTCTGAGCAATTAATTCGCTCCAAGCTGGGACTGTACCGGGCTAACGGGCGGCGTCGGGGCGGCATTTTCCTCGTCCCTGGCCGCCACTGGAGGGGCGGCAGCCGCACGACAAGGCGGCGCTGACGGATTTACGGGCGCCACCGGGCGACCACCGGTCCAGGCGGGGGAGGGGGGGGGGGGGGGGGCTCGCCGGGGCGGTTCACGTGTGCACGGCAGTGGGTGTCACTGACACTGTATGTGCGTGAGTGACACGACCGTCGGCATGCTGTCGGTAAATGTGTACAGTCTAGCAGGGACACGGAACTTGATCATGTGGGGGAGTGGGTGTAGAGGACAGGGTAAGCTTTCAACTTACCGTTCAACGCCACTACATATTGGGAAAGAGGTATAGGATCTTAGGGAGGATAGAGTAAAGCGAAGCATGATTAAACTTTAAAAAAGACGCATCATGCCTACAACAGGACCATCTCACCGCACTCACCTCCACCCTCGGGGGACCATTCTCACCACACCCACCCGTTAGAGGACCACCTCGCACCCACCTCCACCCTCGTGGGACCATCTGACACCCAGCTCCAGCCTCGTGGGACCATCTGACACCCAGCTCCACCCTCGTGGGACCATCTGACACCCAGCTCCTGCTCCACCCTCGTGGGACCATCTGACACCCAGCTCCACCCGTTGGGGGACCATCTGATACTCACCTCCAGCCGTTGGCCAGCAGGACGGGCACGCATCCCGCCTGGAGCACCTCCAGAAAACGGAACGAACCGACGCGCCGGCCGCGAGGCACCAGACAGAACGTCGAGTTCTGCAGCAGCGTGTCGTAATCGTATCTGAAACGGCAAACACAAGCGTCAGGGCACTGGGCAGGAGGCGGTGGAGGTGGGAAGGGCGATGGACGGGACGCCGGGCGAGGGACAACACTGACGGTGGTGTGATAAGGAGAAGGGGATTAATCATATGCATGTTTGGCCAAGAGAATCGAGCAGGGCTGGAAAGACATCCATGCGCCGTCGTTGCTTATGTCTAGTCTACTAGTTGAAAGCTTATTTTATCTGATGACAGTCAAAGACATGTCCATTATATTTGTTTACGGGAGCGCTGATGTATGTGGGTACGTGTTCCACGCCGGGCCTTGGGTTCTCGTTAGCGTGTTTTGCAATGCCGACACGCTTGGCCACTGGTAACTGATGACCGTCTGGCATTCGCATCAGGCAGTTGACGACCTCGCCCGGGAAATAAACAATCGGATCGATCCATCGTCCACCGAGCCATCGCCACCTGTTCTTGCACACGGCGTGTCATGGCAGATCTAAAGATATCAACAATGAGTGAAATATTGCTTTCACGACGCGTTTCGATAAACTGCAATGCAGCTGGTGCCGAGTCTGCACGAAGTCGCAAACGTGGGGCCTGTTCAACGTCAAGCCTCGCCACTGCACGCCGTATGGGCATGTAAATCGGCCGCATATTCAACAAACAAACCGCGGGTCGGTACGTCAAACTGAGCATATCGCCATGTCACCAGACGTGCCAAATGCCACCTCCGTCATCAGTAAACCATCCGCGACCCCAAACACTCTCTCCCACACACCCTGATCCGTCCCCCGCCCAGGGCTGCCGACAGTCTGGGACAGCTCCCATGCCTGAGACTGCATACAGTCTGGGACAGTCCCGACTCGAGTCGTCGACAGTTTTCGATAGTGCCGGCTAAGTCGTCGACAGTTTCCGACAGTTCGTCCCAGGCCGCTGACGGTCTCCGACAGTCTCCGACAGTCCAATCAGTGCCGGCGAAATGAACCCGGTCACACCCTGTCAATCGGACCCGCCTTCTGAGCTCGACGCCGACCGAACGTCGACGGAGGCCCCTAACGACCGACCAGCTCCCGCCGCGGGCTCACCGTAATAGAGCTCTGAGAGACCGCAGAGATGAGCGACTCGCGTCTGAGGAACCTGCGGCGGGTCAGAACGCCGGTACCTAACCAGCGGAGAGGATGGCTCGGCAGGTTGGCGTAAGAGCACACAGAAGCCGCACAAATCACCTCGCCACCTTGGCCAGGAGCCGGCTCCGCCCACCGGGGGCCGATATACATACACATTCCGAGCGGGCGACACACACGGCCGCCTCTGTTCGGCTCGCCGGAAACAGCTGACTTCCGGCGGAGACGCGCACCGGCCGGCCCGGAGCTCCGAACCGTTGGCACGCGGGCCGCGATCATCAGTGAAAAGTTTGGAGTTAAGCAGGGTGGCCGGGGCGGAGCTCGTGCATTTTGTTTCCGCTCTACGGTTCCGAGCGTGGTGATTAAAAATCTCGGCGGAGGCGGGGAGCTGGGACCGAGGCGGAACAGTGGGCCATCAGCGAGCTCCTCTGATCAGAGGCTCGGGCGTCCCCCGGCGCCCCAGCGCGACGGAGCTCCGGCACATCAAAGGCAGTGCAGCCAGGAGAAAGACGGTGCCGGTAATTCGCATCGGGCCAGATGCAGCCACATTTGGACAGCGCCATTTCAGAGCACAACGCTGAATTTATGCAGAAATACTCGGAATGTTGAGGAGACATACAGGTAGATACAGGAGACATGTAGGTGCCCACCAACAAGCATTTCATGAGATGACAGCCGTATTACAATCCGACATGCCTACAAAAGCTTAAAGTGAAAATACAGCTAAGCAGCCAGGCATTTCATTGAAACACGCATTAAAACACCAGTGCGAAGCATTAGGTACTCAGTAACACCCTCTCGGTTGTCCGCGGCAGTGGAGCCGCACTAATCCGCCAGACAACACCTCTGAGCGACAGAGGATCCCGGATTCAGAGCCAGAAACTGACAGAAACAGGCTACTCGGCCGCCACAGCCTTCAAACTCGGAATGAAATATTCATACGAGCGAGGAAAACAACGGCAAAGCGCCAGTCATCCGTATCGGTAACGTCGAAATGCGCTTTTTAGGTCTGTGATGGGTGTGTCGGGCCTGTCTGCATTCTTTCTAGTCTTGTAGCGCCGACAACTGGTATGCTAAATAAATATTTTCGTTCGATACATGCCTAATTATAGGTAGGTATTCGTACTGAATTGAAAGGTTTTTTATTGACCCTGGAAAATAAGCAATCCGGCCTGCTTTCCCCTGAACACTGAGGAGACAATTGCTGGCACCACCAACTAGTGGTGTCAATTTCAGAAAACGTATGTCCAAAGTCCGTCCAATGTCCAATGCTTACGTCGACTGTCCGTCCAAAAATGTCCAAGCCAGCCATTTGTCCAAGGATGTCCGACACCTAGGTACGCAATAGTTTACACTCAACACTGTTATTTAATTTGCTTTTCATGTACCGTTACCGGCTCAAAAGTGTTAAATCTTGAAAGCTAAGCTTTCTAATAGCCAATCAATGTTAAACACGATTACTTTTTTAATGTTGAGGTGTAGCAATCGATTGTCCAAAGTTGTCCAAAGCCTGCTGCCATTGTCCAACCGAATTCCGAATTGGACATTGGACAAAATCGGAATTCCGAAGATTCAAGTTCCGATTGACACCACTACCACCAACACAGACGAGCTGCTTAGGTGCTACTCTAATCCCCCGCAGTTTGGCGAGGCCGGTATCGTTCCTGGTTCCCGCCGTCTCCGCCAGTTTCCGTTCGGTCTGGTGCCGGTGCCGCCGGAGCCAGTCAGGCGCGGTGTCGATATGAGGGGGAGGGGGGGGGGGGGCACTCCACGGCCCAGGGCGTCTGCTGGCACGGACAGGCAATATGACCAGTGGGCAGAGACCCCGAGTCAGCCGAGACAGCCGACTGCCCAGCGGTCACTGCAGAAAGCGGGAGCTCTGAGCGGTAGTCGGATACACCGCTGAGTCGCGTGCTATTCGGCATAAATAAGGTGAGAAGCGAATTTCAGTGAAAATGGGAGATGGCTCACTCTACCTCTTATTTTGCGAACAATTCCAAGAACTTACATGACCGAAAACTGAATTCGAGTTATGATTAGACACAATAAGTGACAACATTCGAGCAGTGCGGCTCAGCACCACACGGTAAGCCAAAGTCAGCTGAGCTCAGCTCAGACCGGAGCGGCCCAGGGTGCAGGCAATCAGCCGCCGCCACCGCCGCAGTCACGGTGACCAGCCGTGACGTCACAGCCGCCGACAGACGGCCCGATAACGTATCAGCGGTCCCGCCCCGCCAGGAACCACTATCGAACAATACCGGGACATTGGGGCCTGTACCGGCAGTCACTGGGTCAGTTGGAGCAGACGGCTCTGCTAGCAAAGGCGGCAATCACACAGAGGGCACAGTGTATACTGTATAATAATACTATCAAAGATGAGTCATCGGTATCTAACCATCGCTGGTTGGGGTCCCATATGTGGACACCGATTGCGCTGTTGAACTTGGTCTAAGAAGCGGGACAAACAACTCTTCTTGCAGCACACAAGAACCTGAAGCCTGCGAGAGCCGTTCCAATGACCGCGGTCTGTGTAAGCGTTTCTTATCGGCCAATTTGTTATAGGCAGTCGCCAAACTCGGCCGGTCAGAGGGTCGTTGGCTGCCGCTCGACGGCCCGGCGATTCGCCCCACGGCGTCCCCAAGTCCCGGCGCAATCGGAGACACTCTGTCAGCATCGGGCTCTGCCTCGAAATGGCTACAACAGGTCCGACGCGTCCTAGACAAAACAATCCATTAACAAGGCGAACTCCTTCAGTCAACGAGCAAACCAGGCGTGCAGGACTCCCGTTTGGTTTTCAGCAGCAAGGAAGCCAAGCCCGCAGACCGATGGTGATGGACGTAAATCGGGATCGCGCATTTCGCCTATGCTCCTAGGGTCTCGAAACTCATGCCGTAATGAACGGGATAATTGTAATGGATCGTAGATCTACGCATACATAGTCCTAAATCCAAAGTATTTGAAACTGATTCGTGCCCTGGGATGACGCGGATTAAAAAGCCCCCGCGCGACTGACCTGTCGAACTCGGCGTTGTCCTCGTCGCACCGCTCGTCCTGCAGCTCGCGCCAGTTCTTGCCGTGTTTGCACGTGGTGGCCATGATGACGTCGTTGCCGTTGTGGAGGTGGTAGAGCGAGTTGCGCGTCTGAGAGCCGATGCCGTACACGTACCGCTTTCCCTGCGGCCGAGCGGGGAGACGAGAATGGTGAGGTTGGCACAAACAGATCAGACGATACGGCAAACCTGAGATCTGACATTGTGAGTGACCGAATCTGTGATCGTGAGCGCTGGTGTTAGCTTAAATTAGATAAAACTGTAAAATATTATTGCTTCTACGATATCATATACAAATGGTACCCGTCACGACCGTCAATCTAACGATGAAATTGGAAAACGTCACAAAACTGATTTAGGGTTACCACAAAACGAACATCGGTAAACGGCGACGCTCAGCCCAGCGGTGACGGACAGCAATGACATGGCGAATGTTGAATTAACCCGCGCCCCGCTGGGCTATTCAGCCATACGCGCCCTGCTGGGGGGGGGGGGGGGCAGATTCTGCCCCCCCCCTGTCTAACTTCCGAACCGATGGTCGTAGAAAGACGGGGAAAACGGCAATCGAAAGCTCTCAACAAGGCGGATCTCAAGAGCCCAAATTTTTTTGCTTAAGTAGGTCAGGGGTCAGGTCAAGGTCAGGTCAAGGGTACAAAATGCAAGTTTCTTCAGTATCGGCCTTGCACCGTAGTTGCCGAAGAATGGACTGAGACTGATTGCCCAAAACGTGTTCTTAGACTACCAAGACAATATTCGTTGCATACAATGTCATTCAAAGGTCAAGGTCAAGGTCAGGTCAGGTCAGGTCAGGTCACCAAAAACAAAATATAGTAAAGGGCATGTGCGACACATGTTTTATGGGTCATTTTACTCATAGAATTCAATAGGCACACTCAATAAGTGATAAGGACCACCTCTGGATGAATTTCAGGTCAAGGTCAGGTTAAGGTCAGGTCAAGTGAGGTCAAATTTTGAAGTTGGTTTTTAAGGCCTAAAAAGTTGTCTATCTGATGCAGTTTTTCACGGCGAATCGAATGGTGCTATTTTTGTTTCCGTACGAGGTCTAGAACTTCCAAAAAAGTCATTTTTCAAAAATTTTGTGTGTCGTGACGTCATAAATTTTTGAATAACTCCCACATTTTTGAACCGATTCTTCTCAAAATTGGTATGTAGGTGCACATAGACCACTTCTCTGACATATATTCCGGGTTTTTCGATACACTCAGAATTTTGGATTTTATAATGATTTTCCCAAAAAAAGTCAGTTTTTTTAAAAAATTTGGGCCAAAATCCAAAATTTTCAAAAAACCGAGATAGCCATTTGATAGACAAAGTGGAATCACGCATAACCTTTTTTGTTACGTCTTGATTCCTTTAAAAATGAAGATGTTAGCGGCGTTTGAAATTTTGCCGTTTTTGAGGCGAAAATGGCGAACATGACGTCACTAAAACGTCAATTTCTCAAAAATTTTCTGACGGATTTCGCTCAAATTTTCAGGGAACGTGTCAAATTGATGTATGATAAGATACCGAAAGTTTGACGTCGCTGGCGTAACGCGTTTAGAAGTTATTGGCGAAAAACGGGAGGGGGGGCAGATTCTGCCCCCCCCCCCAGCGGGGCGCGGGTTAAAAGTCTAGGGAAATATACACAGATATAAAACAATGCCTTTTTATTATGCATACCTAAACATGAAGAAACACAATGTCGTCAGCATGATGAAAAGTTCTTTTCTTTTGTGCATCTCGACTCGCTGCACCTCACACTGTCGTTTTGGATAGCGTTCAAGAACCGCTCCGGCCTCCGGATGGCATTATCGGCATCAGCGGGCGAACAGCACAGCTCCAATGGCAGTCCTGACGAACGGTACTCACGCTGACGAGGCACGTCCTGCCGCCGTTCAGTGGCCATGCACATTAGATACCCGCAGCAACTCAGCGGCGGGATATGGTCGAAACATGACCCGAGACGTAATGCCAGTGCAGTGGGATTCGCGTGACAGCGGCACATTTGAGCTGCCACATGCGAAAAGGCAGAAATATTATATCATAGCCGGGGCAGTTTTACGTGGGTTTCAACATGTCCGTGATTTGTGCATTGGACACTGGGCCGAGCTATCAGCCGTGCAGCTTCATTCATCCCAATAATTAGACCCTAACATTGTTGCGAGGCTAACATTACCTACCTTATATATTGCCACGACAGGATCAAATCAAGTGTGTGCCTAGCTGCTAAAACGAGCCGTAAATGGTGTCATCCGTCGAGTTTAACAGTGAGTGTTACCGAGGCAATGAGGAAGGGTTTCTACAAACGGTCGATTCACATGTGCCACCCGATTCAGGTAAACAAAACCGCCCAGCGATCGGATCGGACAATTTGCATCGAGCTTCCGCATCCTACCGTTACCGATCTAGTAGGTACCGCGTGCCCAGACAGGCACGCGCCCGGTGCCAGAACAATGCTGGCGTCGTGCCACCACGTGCCTTCCACCACCCACCGATCAACCACGCCGAGTGGTGCTTCCGCGCCGGCCGGAAGTCGAGTGGGCTCGTCAGACGCGCGGTCACGTATTTTCTGCTCTGGCGAGACCGTACCCGTAGCGCACCTGCGCCAAAGAATAGGATATCCTGCTTCTTGATGCGATCATAACGACTGCATTACCTAAGCTACATCGATCAGCGGCGTATTGTCCAAACGGTTACATGACTTTGTCATGGAGATGCTTTCAACCAAACCACTTTGCATCTAGTCTTCAAGATCTTAGACCACCACGCTTCCATGACGATGAAACCACGCCATTTGTTCAGTCTTCATTCATATGTTTTTAGACACAACCTTCAGTCTGCCAGTAGTGTTCATTGCTCGCCAAACCCTGCTTACAGCACTGGGACCGAGATCCAGCCCCCCACGGCCAGACAGGCGCGGCCCGCGCGGCCGATACCGATATGATGGCGGCCTGACCGTGCCCCGACCGGTTAAAGGTCAACGGCGCCGGAACGTTCACGATAGGACCCACGCGGCAACGGTGACCACGATCGAAGTCTGATCAACGACGTCCAACAGGCTGGGTTCGCTCTCTTGACCAATGGTCAAGAGATCACGGCCGGGTTCAGGGGGAACACATGAGGTGCCGATCTGGGTCACCGCTGGCCGAGTTCATAGTATCTTATCTGTCCCAGGGCCAGCGTCTCTGTTTGGTAGGGCGATGGCTACCTACATCAGTAGGCGGAACTATGGTCAAGCGTACCCATTTTCGGGAACGCATTTTCGTTCCCATATTTGGGAACGATAAACCCAAATATGGGAACGCCATGTAGGCATTATTTAAAACAAGAAAAAGAACTGTTAAATGACGTCCGAAAAATATAAAACGATCGTGAACCACCTGATATTTGTCTCAATATTGTTGGGAAAGAGTTTGATATTGTAAGGCCCATCGTGGTTTCAAATCGTTCCCCTATTTCTAAAGCAGTCCATCATCCGGGCCGCGAGCCCAAATTTGGGAACGCTCTCGTACACTGGCGCTGCAAGCGTTCCTTATTATGGGAACGGCGTACCCAAAATTGGGAACGATTTCACCGACGCCTTTCAGGGGCTCTTTTCATTAACAAGCATCACGTCCAACGCCGCAAATTATTGTTAACGCAACAATCATCAGATGACCTTTCCGGCAAGACCGTCGCATGTTTCGCCCGGTCTTCTGCGCTTTTATTCCCGTTGATCTCGCAGCGGGCACGCCCCCCTCTGCAGGATTACGTAATTCACAACGCTCAGCGATGTTCAACAAGGTCTTCCATACCTATATCCACCGTCCGCGCCGAGGGTGGAGACATGTCAAGCACCTGTCTGTTTATCACCGGTAGTTGACGAGCACAAGGAAGTATCCAAAAATGGGAACGCTGAATATGTTACACCCTCAAAACACCTAGTTAGTCCCAATGAAAATCTAGTTTTTTCCTTTCTTGATGAGTGTAAGTGGCAAAAGGCCTGGTAGGATGGGCACGAGGAATGATCGAAATCAGCATAAAAATTATAAATAAGCCACACAGAGCGACCTATATAAGAGAAATTCCCCCAAAACGATCACGCTTAGAAACACGGAAGACAAAAACCACGTTCATGACGCTCCTTATAAAACAACTCTAAACAGCTAGCATCCAAATAAAATATGTCTATCTGGGATGATATAATACAGCTGAATAATTTCAAACCACTGAAACTGAGTTTACAACAGTAGTTCGGTAAAATCACTGACGTTCCATGCGGTCGTGCGCCCCGACACCAAATGTCACCAATATTACCCCCGGACTGTCCGCGTGTTCGCTTGCATATGTCAGCATCTGGTGTCGCTAGTATGAAACTTCATAACCAGGCGAAAATTATTATACTTGACCTCAAAATGTAAAAAACGCTTCATTTTCCTTAAAATTGCAAGTTAAATGTAGTATAACCCATGTTTTCACCGTTCCGTCATTTCAAAAAATCATTAAAAATATCATTCGACGGTCAATTTCCTTGTGCAACGGTCAGATTAAAGATAATTTTATAGAGACTTAGTAGATACTTAAATTAGCGTGCACTTTTTTGAGACGTGATGCACTAATGAGTTTTAGTGGGCGAACGGCCGAAAAATTACCTTCCGTTCCCATAAATGGGAACGCCCGTTCCCATATTTGGGAACTCCGTTCCCAAAAATGGGAACGTTCCTATATTTGGGTACTCATGACCATAGTTCCGCCTACTGACATGAAATGGCACTCGCGAACGAGCCGTTCGCGGGTCGCGTCGAAAGGAGTTCAATATCTCCCTGGGGTGCCGTAGCGATGTGGGGTGGGGGGCAGTGGAGGGTGCGTGGGGTCACGGTGACACTGGGACTAAGGTCGGTAGCCGATGACCAGTAGATGGTCGTCACTGGCCGGGAGGAAAAATAGGGACATTGAAGAGCAGGAGAGACGATGAACGAAGGCGAGTGAAGAGTAGAGAAGTAAAGAAATCAAGGACAAATAATGGCCCGGCTGTTTCTGCACTCATCATTCGTTGCAGGTATCTGTTTGACTGGCACACAGGGGACGACATCTGACACCGAAGGACGACGTCGGAATGCTCTTAGCGGCTTTACGACGACG